GAAATGAAACATTACCTTCGTCTGAACGCTGCCAAGTCACACTGTCCCCGCTCGGAACTTAGAATTGTGTCTGTTAGCGACTGACAGTCACTACCTGCGGTGGACTGGTTCTGTTTTAATGATATCATACCCTAAACTTCCTTGTTGTGATTTATGATTTTAATTGTAAACTCTGCGTTCGATTGTAAATCGCAATGAAATATAAAGAAACAACGTATTGGCTTATCATTCGCAGGAATTGAATATGCCTGTAGCTATTTTATTTTCGCGCAATAGCGTTAATCTAATCACTTTTTGAACAATTTAGACTGAGGAATATTCAGAGGCAAACGGATAACTCGCTATCAAGCTACACAAAAAATTTATTGTACTATCCACGGGGTAGAGATTTATCCAGTGGATAGCAATAGCCACCGTTCAAATAACCCGGTCAGGCTTTTAAAAGTTATTTATTTTTTCGAGTGACAATAGGATGTAATTGTGTTCTCGATACAGAGTTCTTTCCTTTGCGTGGCAAACAACTCAGTAACCTGGCCGCAAACGTCCCAATAGCGAGAATGACATGTCAAAGGCTCTAAGACAGCCGTTGCCCTGTTTATCGCCAAAACACATGAGACGGAAATTGCCTTTTGATTAGCTTGCAAATATCGAAACAGCTCGCTAGGAGGGGTTAGACTACATTACGTAGACGATAGGCAGACAGGATGCGAGGAAAGTTTCAACAGAGGGGTGTCCATAGTCTTATTCGAGGACAATTTTCGAAAGGTTAGGTTACTCTTTGTTATTCTCAATAGTGGACAGTGCCATTAATTTTATGTATATTTTTTTTAGTGGCAGGGATAAAAATCACAAGTTTGATAGAGAATTCCTCTCATTCAAAGGATATTTTTCGTGTCAAATTTAGAAATTTGCGTGTTTTGCGATCCAGAGTTCTTCCACCCCCTTTGTTGGAAATTTTAGTTAGATATCCACATTTCATAATAGATTTCACGCAAATTTTGACGGTAATTGGAATGTTGTTTATTAATTTCCTATATGAAGAACAGTTTCAGTAACATCAGGGGGGAATAATTGTGCCGTTAAAATCTTCAATTTGTCATTGTTTTAATTGTAAATTGTACACGCTCACTTCATTAGGAGAAAGATCGGAAGAACAATTCAAATTTCAAGACTTTTCTAAAAGTTGTTCGTGAACATTTCATCAAGCAACTTTGCCAGTGTTCAATTTGCAGAAGCAAATATAGATGCAGCTTTAAGTGCAGCATTTTTTCCTCCACTGAGTGTATTTTCGTTCTCTTTCTGTGCAAATTAAGGTATTAATGTAGTAATGAAAAACTTGTAAAAATGAAACCTATTTTCACGAATCTCGTCTTGCATGCGTCGAAAATAATTGGTTTGGCAAACAAATCCATATTTAATGATCAATTTGATCAGGGTATTAATGTAGTAATGAAAAACGTGTAAAAATGAAACTTATTTTCACGAATCTCATCTTGCACGCGTCGAAAATAATTGGTTTGGCAAACAAATCCATATTTAATGATCGATTTGATCAGGGTATTAATGAAGTAATGAAAAACACGTACAAATGAAACCTATTTTCACGAATCTCGTCTTGCATGCGTCGAAAATAATTGGTTTGGCAAACAAATCCATATTTAATGATCGATTTGAATTTAAGTTTATGGATTAGGATTAATAAGAACGGAGGATCGAAGCAGAAACGATTTTTGGGGGAAGTTTTCTTGGATTTCGTAGATATGTTGAATTTTAAATGCACCGATGTGTCTGATTTTATGACCTTTTGACCGAAGACTTTAACTTACACGAGTTCGTTTCACTTATTATCATAATAATGAAAAAAAAAAGTTTCACTTATTGTCATAATAATGAAGATAAAGGTGGACTTCATACATGGGAAATGTTCCATGTAGCTGACTATGTCATTGTCAATAATTTAGATGAAAAATTCATGGGAATGAAAGGGGTTTGCCATTAAAATTTTCAGTAAAATTAACCGAAATCTGAAATAATGGAAGATAAAGAAAATTTCTTTAATTGGATGTTTCATTCAGAATAAACAGATAACCGGTCTGAGTTTTAAATCCGCAGGCTTATTTTCAATCTGTTGCTTTCCCTTCGATATCTGAAATCATAAATTCAAGTGATAATTTAATCACTTTCATTTTTTGCCGATGATCAGGATGCTTTATTTTCCAGCACTTCAACAGATTTTTAAGTTAAAAGGGAAAGGATGGAACTAGGAGAAGCTTGTTTTTAAAAAAGCTGAACTCATAACATAAGAAACAACTTTTTCCAAGGCTAGTTTTGCCACATATCCTATTTGTCATTAGCTCGTTAGTTTGCCGCTTGCAATTAAGATCGGAAGAAATGATCTGGGGAAGTTTATGAATGCAACACAAATTACCCCTGAGGGAATGTGACCAAAACTAAACTCAAGCAACGATTCCGCACACACAAGAAAAAGTTCAAGTGGCTAAGTGAAACGTGCATTTTCCACGATTGAAACTGGCCAAAGACGAAGAAATCATTGATAATCAAAATCTGGAAAGGGCTGGCAGATATCATATGTGCATGAATCCAATGTAGCTACCGTAAGCTTTTGATTCAAACTAATGAAAGTTTGTAAAATTAAGCTGTCATTTTTTGAAATTGCTCGTCGAAAGTCTGTTATGGAGATAAAGATTGTTTACTGTTTTGACTAATCAGTGTGTAGTTCTTGAAATCTGATTGGTCATTGACTGTGTTGTCACATGCTCATGGTTGACAGACTACGTTAATTTATATTTTTCTTTCCGTTATGAAATTAAGATTTATCACAACTATCGGTAAATTGAGAAACACCGAAAGAAGAGCAGTCATCAAAATGGACTTCTTGGTCTCTATGTCGCTGCTACTATTCTTTTTGTGTCACTGAGTGTATTTTTTCTCGTTTGCCCAAATCACTGAGGTAAGTTAGTTTCATTCTCGTATTTCCCAAAGCATACCCCAGCTGTCGCTCTCCTATCATCTCCCTCGATGGAGCCGAAATAAAACGGCGCTAAAAGTGATTTAAATCAGAAAAACATTAGCTAGAGTGAATGTTATTCAGAGTTTGTAGGCGTGTGTGTCCCTCTAGGGTATGGTTTTGATCCCCTTAAATGATAAGGTTTTGTACTCTTTCTGAATTGGGTATACATATAGGTTTTAAAAGAGACATAATCTTTTGTTGCTATTCGTCTCCCAACGAGTAGCCCGATTCTTACTGAAAATTTGACGCCTTTCTTCTGGTCTGAGTGTGCGGATTTGTCTCAAAATCTAAAAGTTACGTACAATAAAACAAAACATACAGTAAAGTAGATACCATTTAAAAAGAAAATTGCCACTTTGAAGACTACAATAGATAAATCAATGCTAGGTGCTACTGATTAAAAATTTTTAAAAAAAATGAGAACATTGATTAAAAGTAGGTAAATTAATTTGTCCTATTGAGACGTTGGTGATGGAAAAATTTCTGGAACAAAATATTTTGAAATAAGACATTTCCATTTGTCATTAAAGAGCTTGGCAGTTTGTCTTTTTACTATGATTTGATCATGGAGTAGCGAGATCACTCGAAGTTTTCCTTCTCAGATCCGTTGATTTAGGGTCAGGGGCAGGTGCATTCAGCAAATTTTGTCTGCATGTAACCTTCCTTCGGATATTTTACTCAAATAACTAGGACTGTATTCTTATCAGCATCTCCTTGTGGTCAGCTTTAGTTTTCTTTTCAAGGAGAATTAAGTTTAAAGAGCACTTGATCTTAAAAATATTACTGATCGACTGAAAATATATCCAAAATGCTTATGGAACGGACTGACTGGGTTTGTTTTTCTTGGTACCAATGGACCAATGGGATGTAAAAAAGCAGCATTGTTTACTTCCGGTCTAACAAATTGAAATCTAGGATTTCAAAGAGAATCAAGTCTGCGGATGTGTATGGCGCGCAGATTATTTCAAAACTAAATTTATCGATTGATACGAATCTTTTCCTTTTTTTCTGTCAAGAGAAATCTTTTGCCCTCACTCCTAATTAAACATTTGTGGACATAACGCACTCATTTGTCTATCAATTGTAAACACCACCCTGTCAGTTCCTTTCAAATGTAAACATCAGACCGCAAGTTGTGCGCACCCACTTGGTCAATAGTAAATGTCATTTAGTTCGTTGTACAGACGTTTCAGTATGTTGTGAAATCTCTCTGTGTGCCTTTAGTACTCGCTCAGTTTTAAACGCCACATGTTTAGTTGTTTGTACGTCTTCGATCGGCTCTAATTGCGATACTTCGTTAGTTGTACGAACTAATTCGTTTAGTTTCAAAATTACTTTATCCGTTGTACGCACTTATTCGGTCGATTACGCGACCAAGCTCTAGAAGTATGTTTGATTTTGTATTATTATATTTATTCTGCCTGCTGCAACCAATTAGGCGGCCAATGGATCTTAGATAAACGCCTGTTGCCTCTTTTCTTATTAGAATTGAACGTAGCTTCATAAGGTATTCCTAATTAGGTCAGACCAAGACAAGCAAGGGTGGTGGTTTTTATTTTCCTGTTGTAACTTCATCAGAGGCCTTCTTTCACTATATTCAGTTCGCGTGTGTCTGTACATTTCTTTCATTAACGAGGTCATAATTTACCGCTTTTCGTTTTCTGTTTACTCATGCGTGGGTTTGGACATCGTTGATCTTGGCAGTATGCAGGACTCGTGTCACGTGTGAACCTGGTGATGGTGTAGCTCTCCACATAGTTCTCTGTAGCTCAGTGGTAAAGCATTACAGCGCAGAATCTGAAAGGTCGAGTAGTTCGGTTTCTTATGGGAACTCAGAGGTTTTTTTTTTGTCCCTCTCTAATTGAAAGAACAAAAACATTTATATTCTTATTTCATTTTTATTTCCTTAATATTGTTTTTGTTTACAGTTTAGAGTTAGAGAGCTAATAGTGAAAAGGCATTTGCAAAGATGGTGGCCTCGTTGGACGAATATCCACAGTTAGTGGTAGACTTAGCGCAACGCAGCATCCCACTTAAGATCCTGGAATTAACCGCCCTCATTGTTCTCATTGCATTAGCGTTCTTTGGCAACGTTATGATCTGTGTGGCTGTTCTCCGGACCCCTGCCCTCCGAACAGTGTCAAACATGTTTGTTACAAACTTGGCGGTGAGCGATATTTTAATGGCGGTTGTTTGTATGCCACTAACACTGTGCGTGCTTATCTCAGGGGATTGGCCGTTCAGCGCAGTGGTATGCGATCTTCAAGGGTTTTTCATGTTTTCGTTTGGAATTGTTTCGCAAATTAATATGTCGGTGATCGCTTTAAATCGCTACTTCGCCATTTGCCGACCGTTTGATTGCAAAGCCATCTTTACCAAGGGAAACGTGATTTGCATGATTGCCTTTCTGTGGATTTTACCAAGCATTGCAAGTGTTCCTCCTTTGACGGGCTGGGGATATTACGCTTTTAATGGAGGCAAAGCTTTCTGTATATACCCCTTCAACGTCAACTTGATTTACACCACGATTGTCCAGCTTCTGTTCATTGCGTTTCCACTAGGACTTATCGGATTCAGCTACACGAAATGCATCATGGCGATAAGAGCAAACAACCGACAAGTCGCGCAAATGGAAGACAATTCTGGTCAAGCCAATCGACAGTCGAGAAAGGCGCGCGAAATTCGTGCCACCCGGACGATGATGTTCGCCACCTTGGGATTCAGCTTGTGTTGGTTTCCAGTCTCCATCATAGATTTTGCAGACACGTTCACAGGAGGCGGGAATTTACCACGTGGAGTTTTCATGCTCAACGGGTTTCTGATCTTCACGTCAAGTTCCATCAATCCTCTCATCTACTGGCTAACAAACCGCGATTTCCAAAAGGCTTACCGGAAATTATTGCCATGCACTGAAAATAATATTATCATAGTGAACGAGGTTTCACACCCCACACAAATAACTGGTTCTCAGGAACCTGTGAATGAACAACTGTAATATTTATTTCAATCGTTCATCTAAAGTGCACTTACCCTTTGCTATCATCAGAACGACATTGACTTGATCAAATTGGAAATATGTTATGAGCCAGATTGATATCATGTTAAATTGTGCGCATGCATTATTATCTCTCCAACTCGGCTTCATGAAAAAATAACTGATTAAAGATCAATATATCAAGCAGACCATAGCAAGAAATGTTTAAATGGATGGGGTGGGGGGCTAAACTGTGCTACACCCATGGGATACCTATACCAGCTAGATTGTCGTATCGATATCCACACCGTGTTTTACTAAAAATTACATTTTTTTGCACGAGCAGTGTGTGAACAGGGTATGTTTTACGAAAATCTTTTCCAGTGCTTGATACTCATTCGTACATTGGAAAGTTCCCGTGTATAGATGAGTATCAATTACTGGAAAATATTTAGGCTATGCTGATTCTTCTGGCGGAGTAGCACGTTTTCTCCGCCAAATGATAGGATTTGTAGACAGTTGACTTCAAGAAATTCTCAGAAAGAGAAGGTCACGGCGCCTAATCGCTTCGCCTGTCTAGCCACACCTCTGCCAAAAAAATACTAATGCATACAGTCGTGCACAAACACACTCTTGTCAGTGATCTTCAGTAAAGCCGTTTACACGGCGGGAGGAAGATTTCAGGAGGAGAATCATCCTAGTGTTGAATTTAGTGTTAACCAATATGAAAGAAAAGCATTGCATATTTCACTGTTATACACCTTGCGGTTTTTTCCCACTGGACTTGACTCAAAGGAGATAACATTCCTTTTGTGTTAAAGATGTGTTCGCCAAGCGTTGTTTAAGAAAACCGAATTTTCTTGTGAAACAAATTGAAATAAATTTTTCCTTCAAGGGTTTCCCATTACTATGGGTTTTTTCATACGCGTAAAATAGCCTCTAAGAGGATGCGTTTTCAGAGAGTGATTCATTAAGAAAACCTCTTTCGTGCTCGTGCAACAAACGAAAAATTGTTACGCTCTAAAGGTTCCGAGTGGTAGGTTCTTCTTCATTCCATGTGAATAGCTTCTAATTATTATCTCGATTGAAAAATGCTTTTCTTAAGACTACGTTAACTTTGATAAATTTTGATAACCTAGGTATTTTGCTGCCCAGCACTGAAATGCCAAATTGCTAAAAACAGCATGTTAAGATCATAACATGGCTTATTGGAAAGTACTGGAAATGACATGTACTGTCTTAGGATTATTTTGGAGACGCGTTTCCCTGACAACGCTCAGTCTTCCAAGAGTTAATAACTAGCTAGGCAATACGGATTCGAAATAATATTTTACTTCCTAACCAAAGAAGTTTTCGATGACAACATTGACTTATGAGGACGTTAATGCTTTCTTAGCACAAGGTGCTTAAAATACAAATTAGCATTTGTGAGACTCTCTCGCCATAATAACAATAGTAGAGGAAAAACAGCCACTTTTATTGTCAAGCTACTTACTCAACATAGTGATGATCGTCCTAAGACTATATTCAATATCTTTAACCCTGAAAGATTTTATTCGACAATATCCCGGCGAAATTTCTAATAACCTCTGGATTCCGACTTACAATTTAACCGAGTTTATGTTACCGTGGAATGGGGAATTACATTTTGCTCACCGTTTCAGTTGTAAATTCCACTCAAACATATCTTAAATAAAGTATTGGACTAATTCTTTGCAATTTGTAATCTTTCTCGGTCCGATTTCGACTGAACGTGAATTTTTTGGTGGGTAAATTTTCTTACTGGATACTTTCGTTTCGGTTGATACGCTTCATTAACGCCGTCAGTGTTTTTAATGAAATATTAATAATATTGGCAATAGTGACAAGGGAACCCGAGAAGAGGCGGGCTATTTACTCAAAGCAGGTTTCTTCCTGAGTTTTTGATCCGTTTAAAAGACTTTTAATAGTGAAAAGAGGCAACTGGCGTAGGACTCAACGCACGTCAAAGGAAAATTCAATATTTTCCTGATACCGAGAGAAGACTTGTCTGGTGATAAATTTTTGAAATTCAGATCTGGACCGAGAAGAGGGCGAATGTCTTGCAGCTGAGATGTACCTGTTACTGTGAATAAAACAATAACTACTTCACAGGGATATCTTCAAAGGTAATTATACTCATTCTTTCTTAGCCAAAAATGACAAAACTTCGTAGTGTTTCTTCTTGACGTTTCCTCAATTTTTCAGTGGCTTGTATGACCTTTGAGAACTCTTCCTTTAGCATCAGAACCATACAACCACTGGTTATAATTGATCTTTGACTGGTATAGTTACTTACGAATCAGGTTATCTCCAAAGAACGCTACTGTGAAGAAATATCTTTTTGATTTCTTAATTTTTATTGAAGGGATTGAAGAATTGAATTTTGTTGAACTTAGCCGTGAATCAGACGTTTAAAGCAACCACGAAAACAAGAAATGATATAAGGAACGGAGGATTAGGTGGCTGTTAAATAATTTAGCTTGTTTCAAACGGGCGGTGAAAATGTAAAACTTCTATTTTAAGTTATGTTCAATTCTAGCGCATATCTAAGAGATATTTAGATTAGCTTTCTCTAGCAGTATCTAAAACCATCTAGGTGGTTTAAAGTTATCTTAGTAAAACCTTAGTCTTCATCGCGTTTTGATTGTCGAGGTCTCATGGTACCAGTTCAAACAAAGTTAAACTTGATGTGCCTTGATCTTTTGATCTAAAACGAGAAAAAAGATACAACTAGGTAAAACTGCATTAAAAGTAAGAATGATAAAATTAACAAAGGTGAATACAATTTTGTTACGTTTAATTAACGAGAGAAACATATTAGAAATGTTTGGGAACCTTGAAGCCTAGTAGCGGCACTGAAATAATTGTAAATGACTTTATTGACAAATCAGTTTCCCACCTTTTGTAGAATGTATCAGGGAGGGTTTAGTACAAGAAAAGCAATCAGGTTATCTAATTGCTGTTTTACAGGTTAAGTTAAGAGCTAGTAATTTGGTACGGATCAGTACTTCTCAATGAATGAAGGTCCCAATGACTAGATGGTAGAGTCACGGTCGGTGCGTGAGGTGTGAGAAAGAGGGTAAATCGTGCAAAAAGGCCTACAACGATGGTAAAGTCTACTGAACCGGTCAAACAGACGGTCTGTTGACCTGCTACAGTCAGCAGACCAGCTAATTATGCGCTTGCTTGGCATCAATCGATCGGTTTGTCGGCAAAGAGGGTTTTAATAAATATAACTCGTATTCATCTCCTTTAAATAGCGAATTGATAATGGCGGACACCGAAGAACCTCGACCAGATCCCGTCGAGGGGGTAGACGAGAAGGATTCCACGAAAAAATCCAGTTTTCCCAAAAGATATGTAGTGGCCATCATGATCTTTCTTGGTATCTGTGTGCAATACGCTCTCCGAGTGAACCTTAGTGTAGCAATAGGAGCCATGTGCAATAACCACACTGTGGAGCAGAATGGATTTACCATACAGAAGGTTTGTTTCCTTCTTGTATTTCCAGAACATACATTGTAGCGTCCATCGAATACATGTTTAAACAATTACACGTTGTCTCGAAAGTAACATGTTTTTTTTTCTCTCGATTAAAGAAAGCTGAATTTGAATGGAGTTCAAAGCTTCAAGGTAACATATCTCAGAATTTAAAAAAAAAACAATTATTTTTGTCAAGTAGAATTTATTATAAACACCGAGGAACTGTTTAAACGGCTCCTAAACATTTAGTTTACTAAACAATCAAATCAAATCAGTTCCAGGCAGCTTTGAATTAGAGGAAACCGTAGCTCCTCAGTGAGCTGGGGCCAGTCAGTAAAGATATCTAGCCAATAAAGTTCCAAATGTCGAATCCCCATGATTTATAGTTGTGAACAACACGATAAATGATAAAGGTTTATGAGTGCCTAACACCTGAAATGAAATAAATTGAGAAGGACACGAGACCAATATGAATCCTTTTCTTTCTTTTCCCAAAAGGCACAATACTTGGAGCGTTTTACTATGGCTACACTGCTATGCAGATCCCAGGCGGTTGGTTAGGTCAGCGGTTTGGAGGAACCCGCGTGTTCGGGATCTGTCTCGGGATCGCCTCAATACTCACCATGCTCACACCAATTGCAGCGCGCACCAGTGTCGCAGCTCTAATTACTCTCAGGGTGATAGAAGGGTTGGCTTTGGTAAGTGAACAAATTACAGGGTGTTTTCTACAAGCAAACAAGCATCGAGAAAATCTCCAGTATCGATGAATCATATTCTTGCGACGTTCAATGCAACTCATGGTTCTAGTCTTCTCAATTATTGCATATTATGCGGGTTTTACGTAGTGTTTACCAATCAAAAGTGGCTTTGCTAAGATCTTCTCTCACTCAATGACAACCCACAAGCCGTCAGTAGGTAACCCTCCAGAGATATGAACAAGAGCCTGACTTTCGAGGTGAAATTTTTCATGTTCTAATATTTCTGTTTAGTAAGAGTAACGCATATCGTTTTTCACCCCTAGTCACTCGACCATATGGCATGTACGAGAGAGGCTCAAAGATTTAAGCCACGAATGGCTAAAAATCTCGTCCATATTCTCATTAAACTTCTGTCTTATTTTGATTTTCAAAGGGTGCTCTTTTCCCGTGTAACCACGCAATTTGGAGCAAATGGGCACCACCATCTGAAAGAACTCGACTTTTTACCATAACCGTTGCAGGTGATTAAATGTGCAGTCTGGAAGAAGTGACAAATTATAAAAAACTAGATTGACTTACCCTCTACAGCCGGGCACCCTTTTACGTTCTGCCTGACGTAATTTTCACTTAAAAACTTGCTTCTAAATCAATTAATCGATCACTCAATCAATCAGTCAATCAGTCGATCGGTCAGTCGGTCAATTAGCCAGTCAGTCAATCAGTTAATCAATCAATCAATTAATCAATCAATCAATCAATCCTCACCCTGAGAATACATCTTTTGATGTGAAAGTTGGCGTGGCGAGGTGTTCAAGAATTTGATTTAGGACTAGTTCTGAAAAACGCCCAAACCTTTTAAAATCATATTTTCCTCAGAGCATTTTTGCTGCCAGCAATTCATAACTCTCTTTGTTGTATCACGTGATAGGTTGTCCAGTGGGTACTATCCTATCTATGCCACTGAGTGGCATTATGTCTAAATATGGATTTGACGGGGGATGGGCCTCCGTGTTCTACTGCTTTGGTAAGAAGTACAGAACATAAAATTGAATGATACCTTATCTTTCACTATTGTAGCTCTACCTTGCTTTTCCTTTAAACTCGTAACTCAAACGTTAGAATTTGCGATTTTACGTTTTACTTTAGCCATTATGCCCTTCCGCAAGCTGTTTTTTCGCACTATATCAACACGTAATCGAACCATCTCCTTAAACTGTTCCTTTCAGTTCTCAGTGGTGTGATGCCTTACGTCCTACCCTGTCTTGCAGAGGTCTTGTGGAAATTCATTTTAAATACATCACCTCTTATGTTTTTGTGAATGATCTAGGAGCAATTGGTCTTCTTTGGTTCTTTATATGGCAACTAGCGATCCATGGCTCTCCATCAGAGCATCCTACTATCACTCCTGAAGAAAGAGACTATATAGAGAAGAGTATAGCGAAGCTACCCCAGGCTAAGGTAAAGGGGTCGTTAGTACCTGAAAATGACCACGTGAAATATATCTTACTAGCTGAGTGGTATGTACTAGTTAAGTGCCACCTCCGCGTTTTTCGTTAAGTTTCCCTGAAGAGTTTTTGTTACTCATTCTAACTAAAAAACACAACACAACGACCACCTACGGCTCCAAGCCGGACCTCTTGATTTGGTGAAGTCAGGTGCTTTAGCTACTGGACTTTGAGGCTCTAAAAAACAAAAAATAAATCAATATACCGGGACAAAGTTAGTAAAACTGAAGTCTGCCATCTGCTATTTTAGAAAGGCCAGGTTCCTTGGAAATCGATTTTGACATCACTTCCCGTGTGGGCCATCGTCACAGCTAATTTCACTGCAGACTGGGGCATGTATACCATCTTGATCTGTCTCCCTAAATATTTCATCGAGGTTTTGCACTTCGACCTTGCTAAGGTATGTATGTATCAGTAACGAGAGTTAGGAGTCAATGAAATATTGAAATACTTTGTCACCACACACACTTGGAAACACGATCACCGGGGATGGGAAATTTTGCCATTCAATTTGCCAATATGTATGCGAAAGACGTTTAAACTTTTTTTTTGCCCAATCACGAAAGGAGGAAAATTCTTCGTGTTGTTTACACAGACTGGGTTTCTGGCGGCGTTGCCATATGTTGTCAAAGCTTTTGTTGGACCTGCCGGAGGTATTCTGGTGGATTGGCTCATTAAAAACAAGATGTCCGTTAGAAACACGAGAAGATGCGTTTTTACCTTTGGTAAGACAAAGTTTCTTTCCCAGTTACCCGCACCTGATACTCCTTTCTTATTGCTACTTGCTGTTTAGCAATCTGATGCATGTTGCGCTTCAGTTTCTACGACAGTTAAATTCATATTGTTTTCGTCTTCAGGTTGTACCACAGCTTCGATCTTCATCTTGATAACAGGATATGCTACGACTCCGGCTCTTGCCGTTGCTTTTCTTACCATTGGTGTGGGTATCACGGGTCTGAATGCTTCAGGTTATGCCGTCAACATCCTTGATATTGCGCCTCAGTACGCAGGCGTCATAATGGGTGTGACTAATGTTTTTGGTGCGTCACCGGGCTTCATTAGCCCACAGATTGTTGGAATTGTCACTCCTAACAAGGTAAACAATCACCTCTTATGAGGTAAAGTGCATCTGAAAGTAAAGAAATATTTTGTCAATAAATGAGAAGTTTCCTTGATTGACGGCTTTCATCTGCGAGGTCTTCTACTGCTTAAGGTCAATTTAATTAAAGAAATCTACGCTTTCAGCGGGTGGGGGACAAGTAAATTTCTACTTCCAGGCGAAAAATGGATTCTTAAACGTAAAAGTTTTTCCCTGAGGGAGACATTAAGCCATTCTCTATGACAATTTCAGAGTTCCAAACTTGAATATCCTAGCGTGGAAGTCGCCGAGTCTCCATTTGCTAATAATCATTACCAGATTTTCAGAAATATCAGATTTGTGAACTCTCCAGGGAAAAATAAGAGAACGTGCATGACTTCGCGCTGCTTAATAATATCGCTGTCGTTTGCAGACCGCTGGCGAGTGGCGCATTGTATTTTGGATCACAGCGATCGTGTACATCATTGGTATTGTGATCTTTGGTCTGCTGGTCTCAGGTGATCTGCAACCCTGGGCCCAACATGAAGACAAGAAGGAGGAAGAAGATGGAAAAAAGGAAGAAGATGAAGAAAAAGTAGCTGAAAAACAAGAAAAATCGGATGAAGATAAGAAAGAGGATGAAAAACCACAGGAAAGTCAAGAAGAGGCGAATAAAGAAGAACAAGCTGAAGACAAACCTGCAGAGTAATCGTAACAGTCGGATAATATTACAATCTTGTTTTGCTGAAAGACCTACATAGATGTTAAATTAAATTAAAGCTTGTTATTCTTCATGACAACGTGTTAGCAAAATACCTATTAACTGTGAAAATTGAGGGTATAGTCTATGATGCTTAACCGGAATATTCGCTATTCTTTGTCGAGTCCTCAACATTTTAATTCACGTTTAATTTAAACGTGGTTGTCTAAACAGTTCTGTTATTATTTTGATTTTAACTGCTATATTTTAAAAATGCTTTTCCCTATCAATAGCATGATAAACCAGTAAAAAACCTTACGAGCAAAACAATCATATAATACGCGTCTGCTGCAGGTCTCATTTTTATCTTACACTTTAATAATTGTAACGGTAAGGTTTTCGAAACTATCTTTGCCGAATGTATCCTTGGATTCCTGTGCTCAAAGTTCCACGTCCATTCACAAGGCGTGAATGTCCTCGAAGCTACAAGCTAGACGTCAACATGAAAAAATGTTTCAACTCGCAATCGTTGTTTTTAATTTGCATTTTCTGCGAGAACGACAACTGGTGATTGAATGATTGCATGGAAGCGACGGATGCATGCAACGCATGTTCTTTCAATTCTCTTATTGTTTATTTCCCATGTTTTCGAAGCGAGGAAAATTACAACCAACGGGCTGGATTTAATCATCAAGAATCATAATTCTTTTCGTAAATAGAGTGTAAAACCATTTCAAAAATCTTAAGTTTGTAATACACAAATTTATTAAGTGCTCTTTCCTTTGACGCTCTGAGAATAATCTCAGGTTAGATAAACAAAATCTGTTTATTGTTCATTTCTCACTTAAAATTTGTTTCATTTCGTTAAACACTTTCTTTGCTCGTATCGACCGTTATCTGAGTTTCCTGAGTACTATGTTGTCATGTCCAATAAAAGTAAGATAGTCTGTCAAGCCAGCTATCAAGCCAAGCTGAAATAAAGAATTTCCGTCATATAAAATGACTTATTTTAGTCGATGTGCGAACCTTAATCCAGCCATATGTTACCTTATCACACCTTTGTGAGCAACGGACTATTTTTCAACCTGTCATTATTGGATGTTTCAATAACTTTTTCCATGAGCGGCTGCCAATGATGCAACAGGCGGCTGTGCCCGGAAGGGGGTCAGTAAGGCAGCAACCAAACATTTTGAAACCCCTTCCCCATTTGGCTGCCAAGATGAACTCTGACTGCTGTTACAAACTGCTGTCATATATCACTCAACTTACACGACTCTCTTTTCAGTTAGAGCTCTGCGCCTTAGGTCTATAATCAGCAAACCAGGCCTGGATTAACTCAGCGGAATAATCAGTGTAGGCAAACTTAAGCTATTGAATCTTATAGAAGTATATTCTTCCTAAGTCTATCGAAAGAAGTCCAATGTTATGAGACCTAAGCGAACTACGGTATAGTCTACACTACACCACATAAAAAAAGCCCGTATTTAATAATAACGCCCCAGAACGTGAACAAGTCATTCACAGGTCGAAAAAAATCGTTTCGGAACGCAGGCCAAGGACGGTTCCCAAAGCTTTTCTGAGGGCGTCTACTACAAGTCTTACCGCAGGCATGAGGGTCTGAGATAGGAAAAGAAAAGAACGGAGTAAGAGGAAAATAAACCTTTTTGGTTTTTGAGATAATGGAAATCTGTAGATGTACCCAGTGTATTGGTAACGCTGCCGTGTATTTAAAGCTATAAGTTCCAATCCTTACTTCTGAATGATAGTATCAATTTTTCTCCTCACCCCTACTTATTTTCCTCTAGTCTGGTTGGAATACCTGTTTAAACAGCACAGGAACCTATCCAATAGATGAAGATTCATTGTGTAGATAAACGCAGTGCAGCCCCTCTTCGTTACATAAGCAGCGCCGAAATTAGTGGTCCAGGTGGGAGTTAAAACTTTACTTGTGGTTTATGTGGTTTCTGCGCAGACACGAAAGCAACTCGTTATAATGTAAACTTAGGTTTAAATTAAGGTCGTTGACAGTATAGTAATTAGCTCAGTTTAGAGTGAATTTTCACACCTGCATCTGCAAACAATCCCTGGTTGCTTCGAGAAAATTTCTAGTCATCATCACGTAATTTTATACGTTATCCCCGACTGAAGATGTTGCCATGCTTATTACATAACCTCTCTGTACGAACATTCTTTACCCTTTGACCCCGAAGAGTGACTAGTAGCTAGTTTATCCTTACAATATCACCACTGAATCACACATTAATGTCATGAGAATAAAGGATTTGATCACCAACTAAAGAAACTCTTGATCGCTAAAGAAATTCTCCTTGTTAGCATCTTAAGAACTGTATGGACTACAGTATGGAGAATATGCATACTAATGTTAGTGTGTATAGGGTTAACTTAAACTGAACGTGCTTCTATATCAAATATGAACTTTGAGTTAAACAATGATTTTTAATCGTTTTATCAAAATTTGATTTTTTCAAGGCAATTCTCGATTTTTTTCTTAAGTTTTTCAACATGTCTTGAGAACTAAATTTCTCGAAATACCTGTTTCACTTGAAGAGGTTTTGTTTACAAAAGGTGTGTTGCTTGGCAACATCCTTCAACTCTACAGGTTGAACTAAAAAATCACCTGCAAGTAACAAATAAAATAGCCACCTTCAACAAGCGGTCATGGCCGTTCTTATGTAATGAAATCACTTGCCTGAGTGAAATAAGGATATAGAGGGGATAAATCATGTCGTAGAGCACCTTTAATGGCTCAGTCTACGGGAGACTTGGAGTCGGGTTTAACCCGCTTTTTAAACACTTTATATGCTTGCTTTCGCTTTATGTCAAGATTTCTTGTTTTATGCCAGTTCTGTGAATGTCCGACACGAGGAAAGAAGTGTAAAAAAAATGTGAGTGGAGATGAAGATATTCCATCGGAGAAGACAAATCGTCAGGGGAATAGAATTTCCCTGGCTGTGTATAGTTTTCCAAAGCGTTATATATTGGCCATAATGACTTTTCTCGGATTTATGAACATGTATGCGTTGCGTGTTAATTTGAATGTCGCTATTGGTGCAATGGTCAACAACCACACTGTTCACCAGAGAGGATACACTGTTACCACGGTAAACTTTTATTATAAATACCTTTTCTTATATGCTTCTCATTAGATCGATATCTACTTCATCAACAGGAAATGAGCCGAGGTTTATTTTACCTTTTCACTTAATTTTTAGGTTAATGAAAGATTAATATGTTGTCTTCTCTTTTCGGTCGAGAACAGGTCTTGAATCAAAAGTAAATAGTCACTTCACTATTTAGAATTACAAAATACAACATCACATGCCTTAAAGCCGTTCTAGAATATTTCTAAATTGCTAGTTATGTCCTTGATATGAGTTAGTTATCAAAATTGTACCATGCATTTTTCGGATTTCCCTTCTAAAAATGCTAATTTCCAAGATGTTTTTAATTTTTGTTACCTTTCTTTTACCTGTCAAAGAGGAGGAGATATTTTTATGACTGCACGTAGGTGTAAAATTAACTTTGCGACATAACGTCGTCTGCAAGGATATATTACTCACTAAAAGAATTGTGTCCCAGAGGGGGTGTTCTCACTGCTAGATCTCGTAACTGACTCGAAGCCTCAGTTAAATCAAATTTTCTCACGATAGATTATTTAGTCTCTTAGCTCAGTTCATGAGCTAAACAACATAACAGTCTTTATTTAAAGCTGCCCATCCACTGAAATTAGCTTACCTACAATCCGAACGTTTGAAGTCAAAGTATTGAAGCTTTCCAAATTTCGGACGATCCTCTTACATTGTTTTCAAAAACTGTGCTGTGGATAAATTATGACTGACACATCGTCATCTTAATCATAAATTTTCAGGAAGCGGAGTTTGATTGGGATTCAAAGCTTCAAGGTAAGAGAAAATTTCAAAATTCGGTCAAACTTCCATCAGTTTTTTAAAGCTGTTTCTTACAGGCTTGATCGAAATTCTTGCACAGTCATCTAGTTAGCTGAGAGAGACTTTTCATCGCCTTTTATCTTTTCCCATATTTTGTTAGAAAATAATTTCTAGAATCTGTGTCGTTAGACAATCTGCATGGTAGACCTGCCGAAAGGCATGGAATATAGTAGTTTCTCTGACTTCACTGTGGCCTTGAACTCTCCTTTTAATTATATTTTTTGTCTTTTCCATTTAACGAATGACTTCTACCCTCACCAATTCCCCTTAGGTATTGTTCTGGGCTCATTCTACTATGGATATGCCTTTTTGCAACTTCCTGGTGGTTGCCTCGCTCTCAAGTTAGGCGGTACGAGAATATTCGGTTACGCCATCTTTTTAGCCTCCATGTTAACACTACTGACACCAGTGGCCACGCGCTACAGCGTGTACGGTCTGATTGCTGTCAGAGCTGGAGAAGGACTTATGCTGGTGGGTTATGAAAATCGTCAGTTATCCATTCACATAACTTTTTGCGAACTTTCTTGATTCAAGATTTACTTTTAACCAAGACAACATGAACAGCCCAAGGTCTGTTGTCTGAGCCTTTTTTTGAAGCAACGTTTGCGGTTTATTCATATGCTCCATCCTTCACGCAGGGACAACTACTGAACTGACCCTAGATTTTGCGCCTCCCTATCCTAGGAAACACAACTCAACTCTAATTATGATATTCTTAATTTGACGCAACTCCTGGTGTCAAATAACTGTTGATAGGAAAAACGAACACTGCTTGTCAGAATTTTGATGATTCTTTGTTGCCTCTTAGCGTATTGTAGCTCACCCTTCGACCATCGAGCCAAGTGTTCTTTTCGTGAGAAAGTTTCATCATTAACGAGTTTGACTTCCATTTTATAGGGCGCTGTGTTTCCTTGTAATCACGCTATTTGGAGCAAATGGGCTCCGCCACTGGAGAGAACAACTCTTGTTACCATGGCAATTTCTGGTCAGTAAACGATAAACATTTGGGGAATCTATGGACGCTTTTAGAGAGCTAGCTAATAAGTATATGATGCTTACCAAGTAAACGTTTGGACTGTACTTTTTCACACTCGACGGAGCTGTCTGTCTTTGTGGAGGGTTTTACAATAATGTTTGATGTGTCTGTCTCTTCTGTGCGGCATCTTCCCCCCAACTTCGATAGTTTTATATCTAAATGAATCATTTTGAAAATATTCTACTTTTCTGACAAGGTTGTCACGTGGGAACCATCATAACCATGCCTTTATCAGGACTTTTAACAAAATACGGCTTCGACGGAGGCTGGGCCTCGGTGTTTTATTGTTTCGGTGAGTACATAGCCTTACTCTTTTAAACTAATCTTGCATCGAACGGTCACATTGCAACCATGAAGATAGATTTAAACCGGTCTCTCCCTCTCTTATTTCAAACTATTCGATTAAAACCTGGCTCTGGTGTAACTCTTAAGGGGTTCCGCGAGTACTCTGTTGAGAGACAGGGAACAAGAAGCACGAAGCTCAAGGAACCATGCGTGGTTTTTATTTCAAAAACTGCTAATTCAATTTTGATAAGAATCACTTATGTACCACGGTAGGGTATCCGCACTGATGATGTAAATTTGGAAGACGAATTCAAAAATACATGCCTTCATGGATTAATATTACCTATCTCATTTAATTAAAACATTGAGTATCAAATGATATAAATCATTTTCCAGCCATTTCCAAGTTCACTTCTTACATTTTAGGTGCTGCTGGTATTCTGTGGTTTGTTGCCTGGCAATTGATTGTTCACGAATCACCATCTGATCATCCCACAATATCAGAGGATGAAAAAAATTACATAGAGAGCAGCTTTGATAGAGTACATGTAAGGTTCTATTTTTATTAATATTAATGTAAAAAAGGGATTAGCAAAGATTAACTGATTTGGTACATGAGTTAGTTCCTGGTTACTTGGTTGGCAAAAAATGAACCAACAGGATGAAATGTACAGTAAGTGATTTGAACCCAGGAGTAACAGTTCATTGTGTGGTCTGGTCATCCAGATGTGAGTAGTCCTGAGACTTTTCCGGTCGGTAGTAGTGACTGACGTTTGCACGACCTTAGCGGAAGTCAGAGTCGGATTCATGTTTCGATCGATAATTTCTTCTCCTTATCAGCTGAAACAAATCAGATCATATCCCCCGTATAGATATTAGGACAATAAACAGTACGTAAACACTCTGTAAACAAAGTGTGACACGTATTTTTAGCTGCGAGTCGTGGGATGCTATTCATAGCCAAACACATTACGAGAGTTGATTTGGATTAATCGTGGTCACTCTGCTTAAATCGGGCCCTTGATGTAATGCGGACTCTTATAGTAGGAAAGAGAAGATGTTATACTTTTTCACCCAATCATAGATTCTTTATCATCTCTTTAGGGCGATGCGTCAATACCATGGAAGTCAATTCTGACCTCAGTACCCGTGTGGGGAATCATGTTTGGTAACCTGGCCTCAGACTGGGGATTGTACACAATTCTCATTTGTCTGCCAATGTTCCTTCTTGACATTTTACACTTTGATATACAAACGGTATGCAGACATTTTGCAGCCCTTTGTGCATGTAACATAGAACTGGTCAAATTTCTTAGAATGCAGTGATTTATTGCTGGGGAATCGAATATGAACAATTTCTCCTTCGTAAATGAAAATCGATTTATATAAAAATGCTGATTCAAGAGGTTTCGTCTTCGAGGCAATAGAAAATAACAATCATGTTTTTTATTTTTTTTCTCATGGAAACTCGATTTGTAACTAATCATATCATATTCATCACACTAGATGGGATTCTTGGCAGCCACTCCTTTTTTGGTCAAGTCTCTCTCAGGCCCTTTCGGTGGCATCACAGCCGATCTGTTACGAAGGAGAGGACTAAGTACTAAATCAGTCAGAAGAGTATACTTCGCTGTTGGTTAGAAAAATATTTTTTGTGAATTTTTAAATTATCATCGTTTCAAAGATTCATCTCAATTACATTTAGGTAGAAATGTGGGTAACAATCATGACCCATTTGTCGAATATTTGTTCGCCAGAGGCGTGGTTTACGCCCATAAATGTCTATTCAGTGATTTGAATGTTGTTTCAAATTTATTGGTTTTCTTTTGATGTGAAATTGCAAGTTCCATTTAAAAAATAAAGACTCTAAAAGTCACAATGTGCATGTAGCAATGCATATTCTGAATTTAGGTCGCTACAAAATGACAGAATCTGAGAGAACTTAAACTGTTATCTCGCAGAATAGAATTTTGGATAACTGATCATAAGTGCGCATGCTCAGTCAGATGTCGAAGGCCTAATTTCACCATCAAATGATACTTACTTTCCTCACTTCCCTTTTTTACACATGACCTTTTATTTCCTTCACCAGGAGCTATGGGGGCCGGCACCTTTATCCTGGCCGCAGGATACGCTAGCACAGCCACTGTTGCGGTCACGTGCATGTGCATAGGGGTTGCAGCCTCTGGACTAATGCATTCTGGTTACAATGTGAACATGCTGGATATAGCTCCTCGGTACGCATGCGTGATTATGGGCCTAACAAACACTGTGGGAACGATCACAGGATTTCTAAGTCCAATGATGGTTGGCTATATCACAGTTAATAAGGTGGGTTAATAATTTGCATGTGCGATAGACAAACATCCGCGTTTGGCGGATTTAGTGCGGTCCCTATGTCCAATATCTTTTCGTAAAGAGGAGCAAGATGGTTGTTCAGCTTTCCAGAAGAAGTTGAATTGGGCTCCTTTCCAATCTATTTGGATGCTCTCCTTGTAAAGAGGAATGACGAAGGGCTAACGCTTTGAAACTCTTTACGGTGGCCAATTTACGTTATTAACTCAGTTGATAATATTAAATTACCTAATTGCAGTTTTATTAGGATTCAACATGAGTCTGTCAATTTTTTTTGCTATTATAATCCAGCTCTACTGTCATTCTTTAATCTGATCATTTCCATTGGCGTCCTTTTAAGTACACGAGACACGAATGTTTTTGTTTGTTCCTCACACAAGGAAGCTGAAGAGTGGCGCACAGTATTTTGGGTAACCTTTGTTATATATGTGGTGGGAATGCTGCTCTTTTGTTTACTGATGTCAGCTGACCAACAGCCCTGGGCCAACGGCAATGAAGGGAAGAAGAATGGGGAGAGAGAAGAAATCAAAATGGAAGAAGAAAGTTGACAAATGAGGCTGTTTTCGTTAGAAAATCAGGCTCTGATACAAACAGGCGTTGATGTGCTTCGAGTCGAACTCGGAAACTTCTGAAAGTTTCTGAGGCATATTGTTTTTTTCTTTTAGATGCAGTGTAAAGAAGAAAAACAATTCAAAATACTAAATGCCAAAACAAAAGACTTGGGCCTTGAGTAGAGGGAAGGAAGACCCGCTCCCTTCGCTCAGGGCCCGCTCTGAAACCTTGACCCGTGATTCGTCATTCATGGACTAAAGCCCCCTTTTACTTGTTCCCATTTTGTTTCCACTCAGATTGTGCATCATTTTCTCGTGGTAAAAGCCGAGTAGATGTGTCAGTACGTTTTCACACATCGTAAGTTGTAATAAATCCGAGTCTTGAAGCAAGTTGAGATTCCATTTAAGTTGTTTCGAGTTTAGTTAAAACGTCAATAAATCTGTTTTTGGATGGAAAAGGTTCTTGCAGTTTTCGTTCTTGCTGTGATGCCACGAATCATGTCAAAAAAGACTTTACACAGCCTTATGTGCGCACGAGCGAGGCTGGGAGACTGCTTCAAAACAGTTTTTCAAACGTGAAACACAAATGAGGATTTAAGTAACTTCTTAGAAATCGCCCGCCTCCCTTAGCCCTCTCGAGTGTTTAAATGAGGCCACACAAACACAACAGAGTTACTCGATAACATTTGTTATGTATTCCCTAAAAGATAGCCGTGGATCTGATTGTTTAGGTGTTAGTAATAACCAACTTTCTTCGCCTTGATTGGTTACCTTTTGTTCAGTACGTTTTGGATATTTGTTCCCAGTCTTTTTTCTTTTGGATAAATCCAACATGGCGCACGCCCTAATAGCGAAACAGCATTTAACAAATAAATCACTTTACGGAGGAAACCTTGCGAAGTCATGGAATTATTTGTCATAAGAAACAAACTTCGTAGAATCACAAGGCAGAGAAACTGATATGTTGCTTTTCAAAGCCTAAAAACACCATTAAAAGGTAGGAAATTAATGTTCGTTTCTTAAAAATTAAATGTACCTAAAGGAGGAGGATACTTCAGAAACCACCTAGATTTTATCTCCGCCATTCCAAAACATACATGAAATTTTGACTATGGCTGCGTTTTGAGGTTCCAAAGAGTAACTTAACTTTTCAGGTGAATCAAGAATTTGACAATGGATGCTGCCATTGTGATTATTGCATAGCAACCTGGCTACCATCTGTGACGTAACCCATTGTGTCTTGCAACATGGCTGGCCGGGGCATACGTATGAGCCACATTCGGCCCAGACAGGAGCAACAAGCTTAATGAAAGTGGAGAGGCCTATGCTGAACACAACAGCTGTTTGTGAACTGTGCATTTTAGTTCTCACCATTTCAGTTGAATGCTGGTAGTTGTTATTTATGTGCAATGAGGTTGCAAGGAGTTATTCAAATTGGTGGCATAGGTGGTCAATTTTTAGCACATTTTAAGAAAACTGTCAAGAGGAATCTAGATATGAGGTAAGAAGTGAATTAGGACATTTATGTGCTTTTGACTGAGGTAAAAATTATATGGTTTTGTTGGCAATTACTTCTCCATTTCAGCTTGTTGAAAATGAAGGCCAAATAAAGAACATGAAATATAGAAAGGGGGTCTAAAATTCCCCAAGGAATAAGGGTATATAATTTTTTCCTTTCTCCTCCACCTGGGCTGCAGTTTGATTTGTATAGGTGAATTTATTCTCATCATCTGAGGTCAAATTATCTACCTAATGGTTGACCTATTTCTTCTTTTTGAGATGGAGTTCCATTTGAAAGGTAAAACTACATCTGTCAAGACTTAATGTTTTATCATAAATTTGAAAGACAGGTCTTTGAATTAGATTTTCATCAACTTCCAATTAACTGGAGGACTAGCAATTATGAAACTACAACTTGTTTTTCAGTGAGAAAATGCTCTGAGAAGTTTAGTGTAAACAGAGGCAGCTGTGTGTGATATTAAATTTAAGGTGATATTTATTGGCAAACAGACCTTTGGGTTGGTCTATAGAAAACCTTTTGAACTATGGTAGCAAAAAAAATTACAATTTTGATATCAGCATGTTGTATTGAAGAGTTAAAAGCAAGAAATATACTTCATTTTAAAGCACTGTGATATGAACAATTAAATTTTGAAAGAACATCTTCTCCATATTCATCATAAGTAGCGTTATTTAACTCGCAGAGGAGTTCACTTTTCCTAGAACAAGTGTTAAAGGACTTGCAGTTTGAGTCTTGTAAACACATCAATCCACATTCTGCTATGCTATACACAACTGCAGACTTGATCATATGGCCTTGCATAGCAGCATTGAAGTATCCTGACAAAAGAAGGGACCCACTTGTGGTGCCTGTGAAAATAATAGAAGATAAAATTCTTCAAATTATACCTAATACCTACAATGGAAAGGTATAAAGTGAGAGGCAGGTAGCTCCTTAACCCTCTAACTCCCATGAGTGACCAAGACAGAATTTCTCCTTACAATATCAATATGAAATTATGCAGACAAGTGATGCGAATAAGGAAAAATATCAATTATAAGATTACTAAATGATCCAAATTCTCCAAACTGACATAATGAGAATTGTTTGGCAGATAGTAAGAAGAATTTTTGAAGAGATCTTCAGAGTTAAAGCGTTTAATTTTTTTTTCCCACAGTAAAATATTTTTTTTCAATTTATGAATGCTTTACTATACAAAAATATAGGTTAAGCAGTAGCAAGTGTTCTACTTAATTTATTTTCACCTCCACTTTAAAGGCGTGGGGTTTGTTTGATTGCTGTAATTTCTTTAGAGGCCCTTTTCACTTTACTATTATATGGATGTTGAGGGGATTTATAATTTAGTTCAATTACTAAGTCTGTTTACTGTTTGGATAATCTCCCTGCAAAGTTTAGATAAAGTTCAGGGCCACTTTATATTTTTGGTTATTTAAGGCAGCATTGAATTGAATGTCAGAAAAATGATTGTAACATGAAAAGAAATTAAATAAGCAATTTTTTGCCATCATTTATAAGGAAACATGCAAAAAAAAAAATAATCCACTAGAGAATTGATGTTTTAAAATAATGAAATCATCCAGAGCCACCTCAACTGAGTTGCAGGAGAAGAATTGCTGCAACATTTCATGCTGAGACACTTATTATCCAATTTGCTACCATGGGATTTCTTGATACTTAGAAAGGGACAAAGGGGAGGAAAGTGCTGATGCTCTGTTAACAATCAGGTTAAAATCATTAAAATAGCTTTTGTTTTCCATGTTATTATATACACTGTAAATGGCATTTAGGGTTTCTTTTTAAAGCCCTGCTCTCTTTACCAAACAATGAAAAAAAAAAACTTTTACAATGGGCCATCCCTTTCCCTCAGGGGTTGCCAGGGTGACAAAACACTGGTTATTGAATATACAATATGGTTAATACTAATTCATAATTATTAGCCTTAGTGTTTCTAATAGGCTGTAGTTTTGCTGTGGTAAAAGTGTCAAAACCTCCCAAGAAATACTCGAAAACAAGAGTGCAGAAGCCATGATGTATCAAAGAGTGGGTGAAGAACCGCCTCAAGGGCAGTGCACTTTATACAATTTTTGTACGCCCCTTTTTTTGTCGATTATAACCAAGGTATCCTCATCTAATACTTAAAGCAATCTCCTATTGAGTGTCGAAATTAATCCAGTATCGCTCTGATTTTGCTTAACCTTGCCTTCTGATTGCTCCAGAAAACTCCTCCAACTTTCTCGACCAATCGGATTCAAATCTAAAACCAACCTTGTTTTTCCGTGCTTCAGGCATTTTTGTTTGTCACACTTTGAGTTCTCATCGCGTCTTTGTGGTATATTCAATTTTGTCTGGTTTGCCCTAGTGAATACTTTGCTTTTGGATTTATTACACTCAATCGAAATTAACACTATTAGTTTGTGAGACCGAGCAGTATGTATATGACATCCGTGATACCTTGCGGGCAAGAAGGCTTAACTGTACAACTTTCTTCTACTTTAGTTTGCTTTTCTCCCGGTAGTGGATTACCAGAATCACACTCGGTCGTGCGATATCTCACTCCGATGCCACATGTTACAGAGCATGCGCTCCAGGGACCCCAGTCTGAGACTGAAAAAAATTAAAAAAAAAAAGATTATTCAAATGAGGGATAACCATAACCATTTTTCGAATTGAGCTAGGTTGTTGTTTAAAAAATGGAAGGCTGAAGAAAGGACAACATTAGATTAAAAAAATTGATTATTGATCACGCTGTGTAAAAAAGCAAAGCAAAGATAAGAAAACATAGTATTCCCTCAACAAATGAATGTTTCCTGCTGTGCTTTCTACAATTGATGAAGTTTTCTTGAAGATTTATGCAATGTATTTCCTCTAATATCGTTCTAATACGGTGCAGGAATAGTATCATGGGAATAATGAGAGAAATAGTTTTAAATACGTAGCCTTTTTAGCTTTCGTGTAGTCTTGACTACGCAGATTGTTCGCGCAGTAATTACAAGTGGTGTTGAAAATGCGAAGGGATTGACCGGAAAATGCCAACTGCCTCTACAGCTTGAAAACATTTCATAAATGTTTTCATGGTGTTTGGTCTCGAGAAAAAGTCTCTGTTGTGATGTCGTAAACATTAGCTAATTAATCTCCTTGAAATATTTCCTCTTGTTCTTAGCAAAAGCGAACGAAACTAAGCAAAGTATGAGACATAATGAACTTCTAACTTACGAAAACAAGGGGAAATATTCGCTAACACATCCTGCATCATGAAAAAGTGAAGAACCCCGACATGAAGGACAAACATTGTGACGAGGGCCTCTACTCGTCTGAACGGGGAGTTATCTGAGATTAGCTTTGTTTGTTCATCATGAGGTTCAAGTAAATCATCGCTCAATTTTCTGTTGGTCCGCTAGCTATTTTATCTCGAGATTTAGTTAATTGCTTCCTGGTATCAGTTGGAAAATCTCCTCATCTAATCTTGGGCTTTGTGTTCATGATTGATAATAGGAAAATAACATGCGAGAACCAGGTTATGATAATTAACTAATTGGATTTAACTTCCAATGAAGCAAAAGTAGCTATTATCTTTTGGTCGATCGGTGTGCATCTTGTTGCCGGGTAACATTACTATTGGGTAACGAAGTAATACATCGTGAGAATTTAGAATAAGATGAGGTCCGCAGTGATCCAAAGCTATTTTGAAACTGTGTTTGCAAATGAAACGTGGCCAAAACAAGAAAAACAACGACAAGCTTTTGACTTCCTGTTGAGTTTTTCATAGTCAGGGTGAAAACTTGTTCTTTTTTTTGTAAAACTGCTATCATTGCAAACCACTTTTTGCGTCCTGAAGAAAAATTAAATTTATTGCTGAGATTGAAATAACACGGTGATACACTAGTTATCGATTAGCTGTTAATCGTATTGTGTTGGGGAGTTGTAAATATAATGTAGGGTGTTATCGAATCCTTTTTCTTTGTCATTTGAGGGTTGCAACATCTGCATGAAAAAGGTGAAGTTAAAAAGGAAAGAGGAATCACAGAAATATCCAAGAACAAACCCCGGATCTAGAAGTGCTAAAATTTTACTACATACACAATGAAAGAACTATTGTGAGAGGTGGATCTTTCTTAATATGTGTTGTCGCCGAAAATATTCTGGGAACTGATTTCATCTTTCTTGGTTTACTATTGTGACTACTGTTCTATTACATGAGCGAATGGGAGAGTTATCATATCAAATGCTTTGAAGAAGACGGGTTCGCTTTACGATTGATAAAGTTGAACTGCTCAGTGCATCAAAATTTAATAGCTTCTCTTCAGGATAAGTATATCTTCTCTTAAAGGTTCTGTCAGAGCTTAGTAAAGGCAATTGCAACAACCATTGTCCAACTCTATATGCCGGTGTCTTTATTCGGCGGTGAAAATAAATGTGCTTACTCTTTTGCTGAGACCAGTTTTATATATGATACCATTAATATTTTACCTTGAGGTAATTCCCAAAAATGAAAATGGGGAAAGACACTTGGTGATAGGTTCGGAAATATGGAATGAACTAATTGACTGAATTGATGATTTTTTTAAATTAGCGCTTCTGAAAGCTGACCCTAGGAAAGCGGAAAATACATATGTACCTATGGAATACATTTATTGTTTGAAGTTTCATTAAGATAGATTCTGAAAAATTAGATTTTAATGCTTCAAGATAATCGGTTTGCTCGAAAATACTAGTCTTGACTTCCTTTAATTAAAGCAAAGGCTATGAGAAGTTATTTTGTTCTTACTAAAACCCGATGTGCGTCATGGATCGATCGAGAGTAAAGACTTTTTTCATAAACAAAAATAAATATCTAAAAGATTCAGTGATGGACCAATACTTTCCACACTCCAAACGGAGGTCGGCCAGATCAGTCGAAACCTAAGTTATCGCTGGCAGAAAAGGCAAATTATTTTTAATCACCTCATCGAGAGAATTCAAAAACCTTTTGACGCTTAAGTAGCTTAGTGATACTTCAGCCAACTTGATATACAATTGGCAGATGGCCAGCGCTGTATGATTTGTACCGCTGGATATTGATTGCCCTGAGTCATCTAATTTTAATTATCTAGCTGAAAAATAAATGGATCCCTTTCGTTTGTTTAGGCAATAGGTGATAAATCGTTCCCAGTGGGTAGATATGATAAAACCAAAAGTCAGATCGAGATTTTGAAATGACTTTTTCCCCTGGTAAAAGAAAATGAACTGAAGGGAGTTTTTCGATGAAATTCGTGTGCACAGTCTCGATATACTTTTTTTTCTTCGTTCTAGGTCTTGAAGCTAAGCAGGAGAAATATAAGAAGGGTGAGATTTCAGTATTTATTCGGCTTTTATATATTTTCCGTCTACATTTGTGATATTTGATTGTAAAGTATACCAATTGTTCTTGGAAGCCGGAAGAGTTGCGGTATTTCAAACATACACTAAACGTATGAAATTTTAGGTAAGAAATGAAGTGGTTATATTTCCTGCAGATAAGTCCAATATTTCCCGCCTACCTTTAGGACATATAATTATTAGTGACATGGGTATATCATGCAATTATCTTTTTGGTGAAACATCAATTTTTTTTACTGCAATAAAGAATAGATCTGTACAATTCTCCTTACTCCAACACCTGACTAAGTAAGTGTTTGCGCTACCGAAGTTTTTGCCTCATTCTTGTATCCATATATCTTCACGTTTTATTTTACTTCACAACATCTTCATTTAATTTAAACCTTGTGCACATGTGTTTGTCCAAAGCGAAAGGGAGCCCTTTTTTTTTTAGAAACTCAAAGTGTTCCTCGGAAGTTTGACTTTTTCCCTCACGGGAAACAGATTTTATTCCCATACGTAGACTGCAGCTCGATGTTCATCGAATCGAATGGAGTCTGTATTTACCTCGGTTGCCAAGGTTCGAGTACTGAATTCATTGAAGAACAAGACATTGAATAATTGCTTTACCTTTGAAAAATTCAAGGCCAGAGAACTCTTTTTTTTCTACAGCTCTAGCCATATATCTTTCAAAGGAAAATGGCAAGGTTTGGTTGAGAGTGGTTTTCGGGTTAAGGTTTCATTTTGCTTTTAGTTTGTAAAATTATCTTGAATTGCTAAGCTGCAGTCAGTGAGCAGATGTCACACTCTGTCGCAATGCGCTGCATCTTTTATTTGTTATTCCATCAACGTTTCATCTAGCCAGGTACCGTTTCAGGCGAGAAATTGTAAATTTAACCTTGAGAAATTGAAAAGCATGTGTTCGACCAAGATTATATGCTGTCGCCCGAATCACATAAAACATCTGTAATTGTAAACAATTTCAGACCATCACTTCTCTTGAGGTGTGTGCTAAACTGACATAGAATTCTCAATGGTTACTATTTGGATCGCTCTCTCTCTCTCTCTCTCTTGCTAAAGGGTTTTCTCTCCTTGATAAGTTTTTTGGTTGGAGGAGTTTATGGAAAAGAGTCCATTCAGAGGTTAACTTAGTAACGAGAACAGCTCTCTACCGCGTAAGCCTTAAACTGTCTTCTGGATATTGTGAAATTAGATGTAAAAGGCGAACAAAGGTTGAGGGGAAGGAGCACAGGGGGACCTATAGTCCCCCCTAAACGAAAATGAAGAGAGAATAGTCTCGCCCCGGCGCGCACACACCCACCCATGCACACACACACGGTCCTAATTTTTCCTCAAATCGTTTCACCAAGATCGCGCTTTGCGAAATGATATTTCGTACATGTGGGACTTTTTTTAACATTGGCCTTCTTATGCATTATTAGAATTCGATCAAAGAGAACTTTTTTAAGATTGAAAAGAACCACGTATAAGCTATTTTAGTACATTCAAGGCGGGGTATGCACCTATATAGTTTGGCTTGGTGTACAATGTATTCTGAGCCCCTCAGGCATGTAATTGTAAAGATAATTTTTCAAAGAGAGACTTTTTAATCGTTTTCCGGACGTAGTTCATACCTGTTTTCTTTAGCCAATGCTTTTTAAGCCTTTTATTGCTTCGCTTCTAATTGGTATCGCAAGGAATTATTTCCTTTTTCGCAGTCTTTTCTAGCGGTGTCCAAATGCCCGCAGGGCAGCCGAGCACGGTCTTAAATGGACCAAATGCCCGGCAGTCAGAAATCTCCACGCAATAGGCATTGAAAGGCTCTTTCAAACAGGTATTTGTTTAGAAATGCCAAACGATTCTACAAAAATTATTTTGGTTTTCTTAATGGACGAATTTTCAGAGCTTGTGCACACAGCCGCCAGTTTTACACATTTCTGATCTAGCGATTTTTTGGTATCCGCAAGCCTGGAAAATTAGTTCACTTACAACCCGAAATAGTTTTTAGAAGTGCTTCACATATCTTAGCAAGCATCAAACATTATTGAGAGGTTTGTATGAGGTATTCTGGAATAATTCGGTGAACATTTCTGATGGCCGGGTATATTTAGTCTATTTGAGACCATGCCCGTCAGTCAGAAATATGAACTGAATTTTCACAGAATACCTCATGCGAACCTGATTTTTGTTTACAAAAGTCAAGCGATTCCTAAATTACGATGATCTTTTAGCGAATGAACTTATCGAACTTGTGCCTACCATAAAACAGTAAGGTCAGATATGATATCGAAGTGTCGAAAGCTAGCGATTTCTACAGTACACATTGACAAGCTCTTAAAATTCGTAATTTTCGGCATCGCTCAACATTCCTAAACATACATCTAATGATCTTAAGAAGTGTGAAAGAACCTCTAAGGGAACATTGTATTAAAGTGGTTGACTGCTATGCATTTAGTCCATTTAGACCGTGCCCGTACCGGGAATTTTGGCTTTGTTTTAATTTTTTTTAATCACCTTCTGATCACATTCATCGTAACCAGGTATACATCTCAGGACATTTCGTTAATTACAGTTCATTAAATCGTCAATTCGATCACACCGCTCGTGACAGTGGAGCTGTTGACCAATAGCGGTGCATATAAATGTCAAAGCACTGTTGGCAAACTTATTTGTATGACAGTTTAGCGGTGAGTTCTCGATGCAAGAGAAGGAAAAGCGATTGGAGATTGCCCATTGTTATTTTCAAATTTCGAATGTGGTAACTGGGTTTCTATGGCAGGTTCTGTTCGTATTTCACAGATTTATCGCTTAATACCAGTATTTCTCGCACTTTGGTTGTGGTGCGTTTTTGTCTCAACGCCTGCAAGGACAGAAAGTAAGAGCCAAGAGTCTGTTTCGTAGTCATTTAATCCTAATGTGAATACTCTAAACTCAGGCCAGTACAGGGCGTTTTGCTTGTGAGGATCTTTCCGTCAGGAATTTCTTTTGTTATTTGAGGCGAATTCGCTCATTTTACGTCCAGGGACAAATTATTTCAAGGTCTCTATTTCTTCATTACTTTAAGCCGCTCATGAAGCTGAAAACAGGAAAAACAACTTAGGGTGCCTAATGTTACGTACTGGCGCGACCCTTGAGGTTATACCACCTCCAGTACTACCGAAATCTTTAAGATCTTCAAACTTTTCTTTTCTTTATTTTGGTTATAAAAATTTGTTGTTACCGACATTTACGATCCTGTGTGGAACCGGTTTTGGATTTGAAATGTTTAATCAGTTTTTGTGGAAAGGAAAGAGATAAAAAAAGAAAATTCATGCTTGTAAGGAAGGCTCTGTGTACGCGTTTGTTTTGCTGATTCGTATTTTTGATAGCTGCTTGTGTATGGGTAATGGCTGGTTTGGAAAAACAATATAGTTCATGGCCATGTAGGTTAGCACTGGTACTGTTTTCATCTTTACCATTTGTTTTCACTCTTCCAACCTAAATTCCCATCAATTTTAGTTTCTTGCTTGCAGCTATATGAAGCTTTATTTAAACGAATCTTTGGTTTCCGGAACCATGTCTCTATTAGAGAAGGGGATGATTAAAAATTTATTTTTCTTTGATTTTAGCGGAATAAAGCCACTCAGACAGAACGTTTAAAAAAGTATTTAGTTTTATGAATGGTTTCTTTTAAATTGCGAGCCTTTTCTCTCATTTTCATGTAAAAATTAGTAAGTATAGAATTGAATGTTTGTTGAATGCTTCAAATAATGGGAAAGATTGCGTTGGTCTTTGATCTACCTCTTTTCAAAGTGTAGAATTATATTGGCTGCGTGAAAAAGGGAAATTTTGAAAAAAAAAAAGGGTTCTGAGGATGATTTTATTGCTTCAAACAAAGTGAATAATAAAAGATTCATCAAATTTTTAGGACACATTATGCAAGTTGAAGGTAGAGAAAATAACTGTATTGTCCTTTTCTGACAGTTTTATGATTTAGATGACTCTCTCTCACCACTTTCATGTACACAAAACGTGAAACTATTGTATAGGATATCTTTGAGATCAGGTTCTTTAATATATCAGTTGTCGAACCGAATTTTGTATATTGATTCCCGTCAGAGATAGAGGAAATATGTTGTCAGAATCAATGTGTGCATTTTATTCATGTTGCATCCAATATAAAATAACGCTTTAGAATTATCTCTTTGAGTGAAAGCTTAATGGTACTACTGATTTTTCAATTAGATTGATTTTGGTAGGGTTTGATCGGGAAATTGTATACTAACTTTGTGATATAACATTAATGGATATTACAATCACTTATTTTGTTTATTTTTTCAACCTAAGTTTTAGCCTTGATTTTTTAAGAATTTCCAGGATATTCATTTCATATTTATTGTTTTGTGTTTAAGGACTATTTGCAATAGTGAATCGATGATATCATGAGCTTAATCTTATCATGGCTCTCAAAGATACGTATTCAAACACTGATTACTCTTGCCGTCGGTTTCCACTAGTGATGAACAAGAGCAACAAAGACAAATTGTCCATTGAAACAAATTATTTTCTTTTTCTACGTTACAACTTGTCGAGTAAGCGTTGACTCTCTAAATATTTCATTAGCATGCATAGAAGCGTATTTTTTGGCGTTCGAGTGCACTATACTCCGAGATGAGTTTGTAGCCGCCATATTGAAATTGTTCAGATCGAGAAGAACCTGGAGCGAGTGAAAAAAGTGTACCAAGTAGGTAGTAGTGAGAATTTCAAACCAGTGAGGTGAGAGTGGTCGAGCAGAAATCATGTCTAGGTAATATTTCTTCCCAACCTCCTCCCCCTCACTGTTTTCTTCGCTTCAGATTTCACTTATGTTGCCAATCCAATATGGAGGCATATAGACTCAATCTTACTTAACCTGCTTACAACCTCGCTCGCCAGAAAATTCGGTTGCCATGCTGACTAACATTTTTAGTCGGAAGTTGCAGTTGGTTTGAAATGAGTTTACGTTGAATTATTTTCAGGAGAGTGGGGAGAGTGGGGAGAGTGGGGAACTTGTTCACCCACGTGCGGAATTGGTCAGAGATCACGTGAAAGGTGTCAAAAGAAAATGACAAAAAAATGTCTACCGCATAAAAAGACAACACAGACTGAACAATGCGGCTCAGTTTCGTGTGCCTTGACCTCTGTCAGTGTACAAGGTAATTAATCAGTCGATATTTGAAATAGCGTAAAGTCAAATGAATTATGTATAAGGTAGTACTTTTAAGTATGATTTAAGATTAAGATTTATTTCGTCGCCGTGTAAAAGACGTCTACTGTTATAACATTGTAAACAACCACTTCATAATCTTCATCAGTAGTGTTAATCTCGTCTCCGGACAAATTTTCACTCTTTTAAAAAGCTTTTCCTAGTGCATTTTACTTAACTGTCAAACTAAAGTGGATCTGCCTTGTGATGCGTCGAAAAACATTTCTTGAGGAATTTTTTTTCAGTGATTGCTTAAACTTTAAATTTATTTTTAACATGTCAGTTAATCTTTTATGTTTTAGTGTGGTCTTCACGCAAGAATAAGAGACCACTTTCCCTTGGAACAACTTCATCGAAAGTTGTTATGACGTCACGCTATGATTTGATGACGCCAGATAGAGCAATGACCTCCAGACATCTTGCTATCACGTCCTCAGTGCTTATGATGACGTCAGCCTCTGTGCCTGGAGTTACCATGTTGTCAACCCAAATTAATAAGGTTTTGTGGACATCTCCTTTTCTGATGCTTCCAAGAACCAGTGTTACAAGTAAATTTCAGACTTTTTGAATGATTTTTGTAGATGCCTTAATTGAACTTAAAAGGTTTCGTCGAAACCATTTCTGCGTTGTAAAATACATGAGCGAGTAAAGTTTTATCATCATCATTATTATTGTTATTGTTATTTTTATTGTTATTGTATGATTACAATATGATGCATTCTTCTAATCGACTAAGAAGTCTAAACGGGGAGACTGGAATGCTGGGATCTAATGTTGTTAATAATGGTAATAGAACCGAGTGGAGTCCAACTCTGTCTGTAATCATACGAGTGATTGACAAAATTGGACGACCGGGAAGCGGGAGTCCGATTTGTTATGAGTATGATTACAGACAGAATTGGACACGAAGTCCTGTTACCAATTAATCAAAACTATGACAAAATTTGAGAAAGAAACTAGACATCGGTTCTACGTATTCATAAAAAAAACAACTGTTAACTCAACGAAATGCGAGACAACAGTGCGCGCATATGACGTGTGCTGTCCACTTGCACAGGTGTTAATTGTCTCTTTAACTGTCCTATTACACTGTCCAATTACATGCATGACGCATACAATGTCCAATTAGTTCTCAAGTCTAGCTGGTGACACACAATCACGTTCGAGAATTTTGTTATAGTTTTGATTACATTAAAAACAAAACAATGAAAGGATAAACTCAAATTGTTTATCGTTCAATTATGCATTTCAATTTCTTATTACCAGAAACTACTCCCGGGAACGAAGTTCTAAGTACCTCACCAACCTCCTCATTGCATTCACCTGAAATTTCTACATCAATGGCTGTGATGTTATCGTCATCTAGTATGACGTCACCATTATTGGTGTCATCCTCAACTATACTTAAATCACCTGCATTAGTAATCACGTCAAGTCCTGTATCAAAGACTGCAGACCGTAAGTCTCCAAACAAGACTAACCAAGGCCCAATGGAATCTCCATCTAGTCTTCACGCCTACTTCAAAACTGTAAGGAAAGACTGGATCTTACTCAATCATCAGATTAAGAAACTGTGGACGTCAAGCGAGATCTCGTGCGCCATGGTGTGCATGAGACATCAGAACTGTCAATCATTCAATTTTAAGTGCTCGGAAAAGTATTCTGACCCGCTAAAGGATGTGGATACTAAACAGGGTCATAACTGCCAGCTAAACTCAGCAAAACACTCCACCAGTCAGGGAGACTTCGTTTCAAAGAAAGGATATTGTTACTTCTACCTATGAAAGTGATGAGGATGCCTGTGCGCTGCTGTTGCCATCCCGCGTTAGAAATGTCATGATGCTGTCACGCAAAACATATCCGTTATGTTAAACTTTAATGCTCCAGAAATTGCCATACTAGCACGTGTTCCAATTCGACTTATTGTGTGGACACTTCATCTTGTTATTCCCCTTTATTTTTGATGATTTACCTCTATTGTGTTCCCCCGCAAGAGAGTAAAGCGTCAGCAAAAGTTTAAAAGTCTTTTTTTTTTTGTTACTTAGAATGATCAAAAGTGGTAGAAGATAAAAGTTAGGTATTAAAAAATGGCTTTTAAAAAGTAGTGTGGATTTTTTGCTGGAATTTCTGGTGTCGTACAAGTAATCGTCAAGTTATTAGCAATGCGACGTTCGTCTATGTTTGTAATTTAACGTAGAACTTTATTTGTGCGGAAGCTCTCGAAAATGGGCTATAGAAAATAATAATAATAAAAGATTTTGCGCACTTGTGTGGTCCGAAAAACCTTACGTGTTTCCGCGCAGTATTCCCGCATTTTCGCGTTTTGTTGTTCGCTAAACGTGCGCGTTCCTTCGCCAGGGAGGAGAGCTGGGACAAAGACTGCTTCACTCCAACATGGCGGGACATGACGGTAGATTTTGTGAGAACTGCGAGGAAATGACAGCTTGCTTGGGCACAAGGCCCGGAACTAAAGAGCCCCTCGGCTTCTCAGCACATTTCCTTTGCTTAGTGATATTAAGATATAGGATAGAGGAAGACAATTCGTAAAACAGAGATTTCCCTAGTGCATGCCAGATGTCAACTTGGTAGCAAGCGGTAGGTAAAGAAATCTTAAACGAACAACAATTTTTTGAAATTTATAATATCTGTGTTACATTTAAATATTATTGGCTTAGTAGGCATAAAATGGGTGAATAATTCTGATATTTTGTGAAGGAGTATTGCTGCAAATTTGGATATTTAAATCTGGATACCTTTGGACACGTGGTGTTGTTGTTGTTATAGGAGCTCTTTCAGGCGTAAAAGTCAGTGTAGTTTTTTTGCATGGGGCAGAAACTCATTCGGTAGATCCTTCAGTGGATCCTTCAGGTTTTTGTTGCGCAACGTCTCCTCCCTTGGTACTCCCTTTTATCTCTTCAATTTTTATACCTTCTAATGTCCTGGTACAAGATCAAATCAGCACATCTTACAAATAAGTAAAATATTGGTTTACATCCAACTTCACACTTCTGTCTCAACTTACTGAAAAAGTGGCAGCTTTACAATTGACTGAACATAAATATAATAACTTGTTTTGGTGAGAACTTCCGTCAGTATAGAAGATACTTAGGTAGGTACTTAGACTTCTCTAGTCAGAGAGTATAATTATGCAATTTTAGATATTGATAGGAATAAGACAGTTATTGTAAATGCTGGCAGACAAGCTGCACTCAAAGATGAGGGCACCCAAAGTTTGGGCCACTCAAATTTTGGAAAAGAAGCTTTTGATAGAAATCAAAAGAAATTACAAGTGCAGTCTTGAGAAATTCGTTGTATATCGGTTGCTTTATCAAAGTTACACCCATGTGACCTCACTAAAACTGAAAAATGGATACTTTTAATCCTTAGCTGTAATTTTAGCTGTAATAGTATGGACATCTTATCCACTGATTCAACTTAAATTTGATCTTACTCTGGTATTGTTCAAAGACTTACTTGTCATTTAAACAATTTTTACTTGCTACTCATTGCTTTGCTTCAGTGCATTAGAAAAAACTGCACTGTGTGCCTTGCTACTAAATAGTTTAAAGCTCTGCACACAAGTCTGATTTTTAAGCACTTACATTGGCTCCCTGTAGAGCAGCAAATTTAAATATCAAAGTTTCTTTCTTACTCACAAGGGATTGAATTATCTTGCACTTGCTCATATTAGTCATCTATTGGTCCCTCCCATGCCTTCTAGAAGTATCTTCTAAAATTTCAGAAGACAAACTTGAAAACCAAGGGTAACAGGGCTTTCTCAGTTGCTGCAACTAGACTATGGAATAATTTACCCTAAGATATTTTCAATAGTCCATCAGTCAGTGCATTCAAATCATTTTTACAGTGTTGTGTGTGGAAATACTCATCTCTTCATATAGCACCACATTTATGTGTGGAAAGTGTTACATTATCAGTTATTTTATAAAAAGGGATACAGATACAAGTACATGAAATTGATTACATGATTGGTGATTAATTATATGATTAATTAGTCATATGTTAAATTATTATGATTATGATTGGCTGATTTTCTGTTAAACCCATTTTTTTGTGAGTTGTCTTAGCTGTAGTGGCTTTGCATTCCATACAATCAGGTTCATTTGGTGCAGAGGATGTTTATTGCTGAGAGGATTGTATTATAGGAATGAGAGTGGTAGATGTGTGTTAAAAAGTTTTGAATACCATTACTAGTGTTGATTTGCTGGCTGACTGACTGACTGGCTGGCTGACTGACTTGCTGACTGTTTGAATGACTGACTGACTGACTGACCAACTGATAAGTGACTGACTAACTGGCTGAGTGGCTAGCTAGCTGATCATACTGATTGACTGAATAACTTGCTGACTGACTGACTTACAAATTGTCTATCTGACTGACTGAGTGATTGACTGGCTGACTGACAGACTGACTGACTGATCACCTGACTGACTGACTGGCTGACAGACTGGCTGGCTGATTGACTGCTGGCTGGCTGATTGACTGCTGGCTGGCTGACAGCCTAATTGACTGACTTGCAAATTGTGTGTCTGCCTGACTGACTGACTGAAAAAAAAGAGAATTCTATGTTATACAGTTGAGACAACGCTTTACCATTGAAGACTTACAGCAGGTTATTTAATCAACGTTTAGCCGTTCTTTAACAAAACCACGTTTTAAACTATCTTGACGGGCGACATAACTCAGGTCCCGGGCGAGAGTGCCTCGGACGAGATGACTTTCGGGCGACTTGACCGTAAAACCTTGAATTTAGCTCAATCTTTTACCTGAAAATTTATTTTTGTAATTCCTCAATATACGACTATTACGAGAGTGATGAAAAATAAATAAATAAGCAATAGAAACGAATAAACACAAAAGACACGATACTATTTAAACTACCGGTAAATTATGCGGATTTCAAGTTCGCGTCAATAGAGTTATTTGCACGGAGTATTTTAATTGCACGGAATATTTCAATTACAGTATACAACAGTGTGTTCGTAGTAAGCGACATTAATTTAAAAACTTTCGGTATCACGAAATAAATTTGTGTGTACATTGGGTTACAACTTTTAAGGTGGGGCTGGGATTTGAATAGATGGATTATTGATAGGATTGGATAATTAAGCGAGGCACCGAGAAAGAAGGCAAGTAAGCTGCCTTACGGGGAAATTAAGTCTTTTGAAGACAATCGTTTGCCATCTTGACGCATAGATTTCGTATACTTGAATTTTTACCATACGAATCGTACAGTTGAGCAGTTTTGTGTTCCTATTCGCTCTTTAGAGTAGAACGTGTTTTAAAGGCCTGTAGAAGTGTTGCAACTAATAACATTTAAGGCTTTCCTTTACTTGCTTGGCTATTTGAAAATTTTATCTCGACTTGGTGACACAATGCCTAGATAATTTTGTAGTGTTCGTGTTATATTATTACTCTTTTTTGGACCAGAATAATCAGCTAGAATTTTCGGTTGGAATCGAATTCTCTCTTCTTTAGAGGAATGTTGGGGAAATTGGACAGGGTAGTGACATGGAGGTTACTTTTGCGGTTAAATGGAGTTAACTTTGCCTCTACTTTTATCTTCTCGTTTAAGTTTTTCTCTTTAGATGTGAAGTACTTAGTAATTTACATACAGCAATTACATGCAGCAATCTGGCAGACGTTTACAACCGCAAATAGGTTTTGCTCAAAATGTCTTTTTAGTGTAGACAGTGGTTTACTTGAAGAATAGTTAATGATGTCGACCAGGATTGACGATTACAAGATGATATGTTGATATACTGATTACAGGTTAGAAATCTCTACATCTCATGGGTCCATGGTCATATTTTACAGAAACCAATATAGACGTTGAGTTTGACAATGAGATGCTATCCCCTTAGTTTTGATCGTTCATCATTCTCACTTCTGGAAACTACTTGTATAAGCAGTCTTTCGGTCAGATCTCTGCAATAAGAAAATCACATTAGGACATTAGAAAGTTGATCCTATCTTTGAGGGCAAACTAAAATTGAACTGCATAAAAATCCAAAATAATTGCAAGGTTTGGCTTTAGTGAACTTCTTGAAATCTTAGCATTCGCAGTTTTCGCTTCTATCAAACCAAAATTATAGAGCACATGCTAATTTCTGCTATTGTTGTTATTTCCTCAACATGTAATTCAAGCAATTACAAAGTCAACCACTGTCTCTTTTAGCGTTAAAAAAAGGAATGAAATGAAATCGAATCAATCATATACGTACACACATACAACTCTGCAGGTAGTTCACCACGGCCGAACATTCGCTAAAATTGTTTTTCGTGTTATCAATAATTACTGAAAAATTTGCTTTACAGCATTTGGAATCGCGGAGCATATTTCAGAAAGTCACGAAAACGCAAGTTTTAATATGCAAATTCCATCTTAAAAGCAGAATTCACGCTACCCGAGGGATTTGACAACTCTTCGCGAACAGTTTCGCCCTGCTCTGTTGTCTTTGATCGCTGTTTACTTATTTCAGAAAAGAGATGCGTTCTTCATTCTGATAGATTTTGTACTTTGTTATTTTTCAAACTGAAAGACGTAAACAGTACACTGAACCTGGTGACGTATTTAAAAATATTATGTTTATTTTCTGCCCATTCACATAAAAGTACAATTTAGATATGTAACATTTATCTTTCTGCAGATTACTGGAGGAAGCAAGTAATAAGGATTGGGCCTAAGAGAGCATCAATTAGGAAAGGCAGGAGAAATTTGCTGTTCGTCAGGGGAAGGAAAGCTACTACAGTAATTACACCAAG